TCTCCCATTCCCTCTCCCCCTCCCTCTCCCCTTGTTGTCCCCTCCCTCTCCCCTTCCTGTCCCCTCCCTCCCTCGCTGCCCTCCCTTCTCACCCTCTTTCTCTTCTCTTCTCTCCCCCCCCTCCCTTCCAGCCCTTCTCCCTCCCTCTCTTTCCTCCCCCTTCCCCCCCACTGGTCCCCTCTCCATCTCCTAGCAGAGTTCTTACTGGGCTTTTCTGGCGCATGAAGTCGAGGAATGTTGCACAGGAGTCTCTTCTTTTTGCATACCTATATTGAAATTGTATTGCAGTGAGAACGTGGTGGGGCAAATATTTCACCTTTCTTGTCAGAATATGTTGTGAAACTGAAGGTGTTAACTTTGTAAGAAATAATCAGAATATTTGTTAAACAGTAACAAAAAATTCCATGTTGAATACTGTTGAATTTTTTCAAGTACTTAAACTTTTTATTAATGTATTCAATGCTATAAATGTTCATTTTTACTTAATAGAGCTGTAATTAATCTTTTTTTTTTTTTTCTCTCATTGTATAGAAATTTACAGCAACAATGTCAACACCAGATAAGAAAGCCTCACAGAAGATTGGTTTTCGGTTACGTAACCTACTCAAGCTTCCCAAAGCACATAAGTGGTGCATATATGAGTGGTTCTATTCAAATATAGATAAGTATGTATCTGGGCGTATTTCATGAATATTACTTGCACCAGAAACTTAAGTTTTTCAAATGTTATAAGCTACAGCCTTTTCCTAGGTTTTTATCTTGATCTTATTTTTCCCTAAATACCTTTTTCTATTCCTCGTTCCTGGTCAGTCTCTTTATATTTCTCATTGTTCTCCCCTTCCCCATTTTGGGGAAGAAGTTATACATTTTTATGAAAAATTAAATGAAAATATAATTTTTGTATTATAATTTGCTAAGTCTATGGAATAGAGATAATCTAAAACAGCACATTTTTTGCATTGCATGAGATTTGTTTTATAAATCTTGATATTTTAACTGCTAGTATAATAGAGAAACTGTTACTAGTGGTAAAAATGGCTCACTACGATTTTTAGAAAAGTAGGCTTTCTATTATGGGGCTAGTATTTAAGCATTTTAGTTATACAGAAATGTTTAAGTAGAACATAGAGATTTGGCTGAAATCCAATTATTCGACAGTAGAATTTAATGAAGAAAAATTCTGATTTCTAATCCATGCCTATATGCCAGTGATTGGTGCTAACTTTGCTGTCTATGTATCTTTCCTTCCTTTCTCTGTTTACCAAACCAATTGCCTACTCTGAAGCCTGCGAATCTCATGGATGTTCACATTTGAGCCCAAGGCATTTATGTATCATTGCTACGACTGGTTCCTGGTTTCCCAGACTCTTGAATAGAATTGTTTATTTTATTTTATTTATTTTTTTTTTGTCCACAGGCTTAAGAGCACTTTCAGGGTATCCTAGTATGCTGAGTTCTTATGAATTCCCTAAAATGAATCTAACCCTCTAGAGTACTCCAGTGTTTTAAGACTGGTCTAATCCCAAAGAGGACTCCTTGGTGATGGTAGTACCTTTGGGACAAAGATACTTTGTAGCTAACATTGTTTACCTTCCCCAGATGTTAATGCCAGGGGCAGGATAGCCTCCCCCAAAATATAGGAGATTGAACAAAATCAGCGTCTTCTGGAATCTCAAGCACCAACAATATTTCCTGAGTAACTTTTCACATTAGTTGTTTCACAAATGCCAAGGGTTTAATTTAGTTTTAGCACTTTGAATCTGTGCCTATTTTGTATATATATGGAGTAGAAGTGAAAATTTGGCATTTTGTGATTAGTGTGATGTAGAAAATTGGAATTCATATTTTGAATTTTATGTCTTTTAAGAAAGTAACACATTGTATATTAACCGTTAAAATACCAATTCTCTTTTACAGACCACTTTTTGAAGGCGATAATGACTTCTGTGTATGTCTAAAGGAATCTTTTCCTAATTTGAAAACAAGAAAATTAACAAGAGTAGAATGGGGAAAAATCAGGCGGCTTATGGGAAAACCACGGAGGTAAATAAAAACGTTTTTGTTTTTGTCGAAAATAAAATCAGTAAATAATTGATAGTATCTTTACCACATTGATTTTTTAAAATGTTCTAAATAACTAGTACCAAAATATAACTTTTCAGAATAATTGATTGTATATTAGCTATGTCTCGTTAACCAGCTTTAATGTAGGTGCTTTTTATACTTATGCATCTTATAATGTACAATTTCACTCTTTTTCAGATCACAGGTTTTGAACATAATTTTATTGTTTTAAATTACTGTGTCCCTTTGTGTTCCAAAGAATATTTAAGAATGTCCTAAAAATTATTTAAGGAAGCTATAAGGTCATATGTGTGTTGTTATCTTTTGTGAAACCCTTTATCACTTCAAGAGCCTTCCTACAAATGCCTATTTTACTTTATGTGAAAATAGAAATCAGGTTAATCTAATATGTTACTTTCTGAGAATTACTCTTCATGTGAAATCACTTTTTCTTTTCCAGTGTTATCCTGGAAGACCTTACTTCTTTTGAGTGAAAATTTGAAACATGTCAGAAGAAGAATTAGGTCATTAGTTCTCACATTATGCTTACCTGGCTAATAAAAGCATGTGCAAGACTTTTTCATTTTAAATGGAAGTTCAAGGAAAGGCCTAGAAATACAAAGTGACTTGGACAAGTAGAAATGGAATGTAGTTTTAATGATTTCTATAGATGATGATGAAATGTAAGGAGAACTGCCAGTATTTTATTTTATCCTTTGTATTGAAAGATGACTTTGCTGATGGTGTTTTGAAAATTTCCCCCATTTATAAGAACAAAGTTAAAATTTGGTATGTTATTTAGTGTGTTTTGTACTGATAATTTATGGCCTTTGGTAGGCCATTTTGGGGCTTCTTGATGTGGTTTTGTGTGTTTGAGCAAATTGAACTACAATATTTCTAATTATTATCCATCATAATGGGATGCTAGTCACTATTTTACTGCTTTGTTATAATTCTGCCATTTGTTTAAGAGTGTCATTATAATATTTCTCTTGTTAATTTATCCTCTGATTAATCTTACAGTCCTTTAATTCATTAAAGTTAATTAATAGTTGAAGTCTTTTCAACACAAGTTTGTAGTTTTTCTTTCCCTGAGTGGTAAAGTATGATATAAATGATTGATACAATGAACTTTTAAAAATCCTAATTCTAAAAAATCAATTGGTAAAATCACATCCAATCAGAAGATAAAAAGGAAGAAACCAAAAAATATATATATTAGAGAAGGAGGATGAATTATTTGTTTAATGGAGATTGAGACTACTGTGTAGCAGTCTAGAGAAAAAACAAGTTGGTCTCATGCCTCGCACCAGGAAAAATTGGAAAAAGATCAGCAGATTTAAATATTTTAAAAGCTAAACAATAAAACTACTACAGGGAAGCATAGGCAAATTTTACTTAATTTTGAATTGGCAGAGGTCTTTTTAATAGGCCCCAAAGCTAGGAATCATAAAAGAAAATGTCAGTAAATTTGACTTCATAAAATAACATTTTGCTTTGTCAAAAAACAAAAACAAATCCATAAACAAAGTTGAAAGACAATGACAGAAATATCTATAAATTCTATTAGGGAATTATTCCCTAATAGGTAAAGAACTCCTATAAATCAATTAAGAAAAAGTCAAATAACCCAAATAAAAATGATTATAAACAAAATTCATAGGAAAGGAAAAAGGAATGCCCTTTCTAAACATGAAAAAAGTTCAATTTTATTCATAGTGGGAAATGTAGAATTAAAGTATGCTGAGATACTGTTTTTTAATTATCAGATTGTCATAAAGCTTTAACATGTTGGGTTGGCAATGGTGAAATATTCACTTATATTGCTGGTGAGAAGTTAATTTCATATAATCTCTGTGGAGGGCAATTTGGTAATATCTATCAAATTTACATATTTCCATACCCTTTCAACTTCTAAGAATTTATATCACAGAAATGCTTGCACACAGGTGAAATGATATGAACAAAGGTATTTACTGCAGTATTGTTTGTAGTAGCAAAGGATTGTCAACAACGAAAATGTCTTTAAATAGGGGAATGGTTAATGTATGGTACCTCCATATAATAGAAAACTCTGAAACCATTTAACATAAAACAAAAACAGAGGAAGCTCTTTATGTACTCATATGGAAGTGATTGCTAAGATACATTAAGAAAACAAAATATGTAACTGCATATTATAGCTATTTAAGAAAAATAGGGGAACATATGCATTTTTTGCTTGAATATACTAAGGTGTCATTGGAGGACATTTAAGAAACGTGTAATAATGATCTTCTGGGAAGCAAACTGGGTAACTGAAGAACACAATTTGTTAGAATTTTCAGTGCCTTTTGAACCTTTTGAATTAGAAGACGTGAATGTATCAACTTTTCAAAAAATACTATTTAAATAAAATTTGGCTGCTGAAAGCGTGTATATTATATCAGAATGTATGAAGAACTCTTCAAAATTCAAAAAGAAGAATCAAACAGCCCAATTAACAAATTGGCAGAAGACTTGAATAGATGCTTCACCACAGATATAAGGATGTCAGATAAGCACACAAAAAATTGTCTGACGTCATTAGCAAAATTCAAAAAGAAGAATCAAACAGCCCAATTAACAAATTGGCAGAAGACTTGAATAAATGCTTCACCACAGATATAAGGATGTCAGATAAGCACACAAAAAATTGTCTGACGTCATTAGTCATTAATAAAATGCAAATTACAAGACAGCATATCAAATGTTGGTGAGGAGGTGGGTATCTTGAACCCTCATACACCATTGGTGGGAATATAGCATGGTACAGCCAGTTTGGAAAAATGATACAACCAATTTGGCAGTTTCTGAAAAAGTTAAACACACACTTAACCATAAGACTCAGCCATTCCACTTCTAGGTATTTACCCAGGAGAAACAGAGGATGTATTTATACAAAAAGCAATATACTAGTGTTCATAAAAGAGTACATACTAGATGATTCCATTTATATAAAATTTTAGAAGAATAGAAAATCTATAATGACAATGCAATTTAGTGATTGAGAAGTGGGTATATGGGAATGGGAGCAATACAAAGGAAGTGGCACAAGGAAACTTTTGGAGTATGTTCATATGTTCATTATCGTGGTTGTGGTGAGGGATTTATGGATTTTATATATAAATATATACACAGAATGAAACTCATCAGGACTGGCCAGTTAGCTCAGTTGGTTGGAATGCAATGTTATAACTCAAAGGTAAAGGGTTCAGATCCCTGTACTGGCCAGCTGCCAAAAAAAAAAAAAAAGCTTATCAAACTATACACTTTAAACAATTATTCCTCCATAAAGTGTCAGTAAATAAATAAAAAATAAGTAAATAAGTAAAATTTAAAAATTTAATTGGGGAAAGTGAGTACAAGAGAGGAAGAGGGAATTGTTGAATGCAGAGAAACAAATAATTTTAATTGTCAACTATAGGGGGATAGCATGTGTCCTTGGTTCTCAAATGCCAAGAACACTTCTTTTTTTTAAGATGACCGGTAAGGGGATGTTAACCCTTGACTTGGTGTTGTCAGCACCACGCTCTCCCAAGTGAGCCACAGGCCGGCGCTCAAGCACACTTCTAAGTGATGTTGTACAGAGCAGAAGCAAATCCGTCTTTATGATACTGCTCAACTTACTTACTAGTAACTAATCATTCTTTGCTTGATCTTCTCACAAATGAGTATTCCACAAATTCAGAAGTCATAGTATATAAAAAGTCATGTTATCAGCTAAGATCTTTCTGTATATTTCCAGTCCTTATTCATCATTGTTCACAATGATCCACTTTGTAAGTTATGCTGATTTACATATCCTTTTTGCTCATTGTTTTTATTTAGTTTTTGAGACAGCTTAAATGACAGTAGAGCTCATAATGTATCTTTGAAGGTGGTAGCCGTAACCTGGTGTGATAGTCATGTTTAAATACTTTGATTCATCCTAGAATTTGAAAATGGAAACAAGATAGGCCCTAGAGATAAAAGTGTATTCAGTATTCATACTTCAAGGCAGTAAGTATGATTAAAAGTTTGCACAGTGGCAAATCTCATATTTAATTCCTATATAGGTGTGCTCACTGAGTCACAGGGAAAATGTCATGTTCTTCTGAATAGAGTATTGAAATTGAACTTTGTCCTTAAGAAGAGACGTGGGCTCCAGGTGCAATCTTGTCAAGGGATGGTGAACAAATCCTCCTGTTTTGTAGAAAGGAGTACCTAACCTGCTTATACATCTTTTGAGTCTTGCAAGGTCCTCTTTTGAAAAAAACATTAAAGGTAATTTACTTTGAAGAAAAACAATTTCTGATAACCCATTTTTAAATACAGTACTCAAAATAATGAGAAGATAAGAGGGGGCAGTGAGATGGATGGTCCGATTCTAAGTTTTTGTATAGGATAGTTATGTTTATATGATTATAAATAATTTTTTCTAGATGTTCTTCTGCATTTTTTGAGGAAGAGAGATCAGCATTAAAACAGAAACGGCAGAAAATAAGGCTCTTACAACAAAGGAAAGTTGCAGATGTTTCACAATTCAAAGATCTCCCAGATGAAATTCCTTTGCCTCTGGTTATTGGAACCAAAGTTACAGGTAAGTGAAGACAAGCTAATTACTATTTTGACTTGTAATTTTTAATCAAGGTAATCTCTATTAGAGAAATGGCTTTTAAATTCAGGAAAAACTTTAGTTATGCTGCAATTTACTGTAGAAGTTACTCTTCATGCGTGAAATCTGTTTTTTAAAGTAATTGTAAAAAAGTGTACTGGTTCAAAGTAACATCTATTACAATATAAACTAAAGCAAACTGCTACGCAGATGAAATTTAAAATTTATTGGCTTAAGTACAGCTATATAATGTTTTAATTTTAAAATTTTAAAATTATCCTGTCTTTTGCTTCCACACCATTTGTTTTCCTTTCCTAACCAGCCTTGTCTGGTTAGTTCACAAACACCATTGTTCTTGTGGTCTCTGGGTTTAGGAATAGTCTCTTTCTAATGACTGAATAAAACTAAGTCATTCAGTAGGTAGTTTGCTCAAAATTTTGTAAGGGTGTAAATTCTGTAAGTTAATAGATGTGATTCTGTGTACTCATTTCACCTGTAACATGGGGGGGAAAGGGCAACCAAAACCTCAAGTTTAAGTTTATCCTTATTAATTTGGTGAAGTACAATTTATATAATATGAGCAATAACAAGGAATTAAGGAGCTGGCTGGTTAGCTCACTTGGTTAGAGCATGGTGCCATATATAACACCAAGGCGAAGGGTTCGGATCTCCATACCAGCCATCTGCCAAAAAAAGAGTTAAGTGGGTAGGTAGGTTACGGAAAGGGTTTGAAAATGGTTGGATTAATCAGGGAATCTTTTCTGGAGGAAAGGGAACCTGGAGTTACATATTTATATCATTTTTTCCTGGCTATAGAAGTAGTATATGTTTCCATTATATTGTAAAAGTGGGTAATTAAGAGGAAAGGAGGTAATAGGGAAGAGACTGTATCATGCATATGAGATGCAACCATTAGCATCTAGCTTAGTCAACAGTGATAACTTTGTTAATAAAATTGGTGTAGGGGTTGGGATGGAGATGGGGTGAGGTGAGGAGACAGCATACTTGAAAAAATATATTAGTTCTAAAAAAACCCCATATAAATAAGTATAGCTATAAAGTCCACAGTGTAACTACTCATCAGAGAAATGCTGGCATGAATCCAGTGACATCCAGACTCAATTAGGAAATCCTTAAAATTTAATTGTTCCAGAATTTTAAGAACGGGTGATATTATTTGGCAAGATTGAAAATTTTAGAGGAAGTTCTTAATAGGTACTCCTGTTACAATGGAGAATAGGTTGGATGGACTGGGTGTATCAAAATATGACAAAAGTTTGTATCGGTCAACTACTAGAGCTCTTTTAAAGCAATGTCTTAAAGTTTCTATTTGGGCTAGTGCCGGGTCAGCAAACTATGGCCAGTGGGCCAAACCTAGTCTTGTCACCTATTTATGTATGGTCTTGAGCTCAGAATGGTTTTTACATTTTTAAATGCTTGAAAAAAAAATCAAAATAATAATATTTTGTGACACATGGAAATTACATGATATTCAGATAGCCTCCTTAAGGAGTAAAGGTGTTCTAAATTAAGTTCATAACTAAAACAGACCAACCCCTATAATAAATAAAACCAAGTATGGCAGGACCAAAAAAGATCTGCCAGTAATTTTTTGCCTACCAGAAAAAAGTTCAACACCCTGTCAAAAAAACTCTGGGATGGGGCACAGCAGTCTGTATTTTATCAAACCCTCCAATCAATCAAAAATCGCTAGACTTGTGAAGAAACACGAAAACATGGTCCATAGTCAATAGAAAAACCCATCAATAGAAATAGACTCTGAGATGACTCACATATTGGAATTGGCAGACAGCGACTTCAAAATAGCTATTATAAAACATGCTCAAGAACTTAAATGTAAATATGGTCATAATGAACAGATAGGGAATCTGAGCAGATAAATGGAAATTATTCAGAAAAAATGAATTTAGAACTAAAATGTACAATATCTGAGAAAAAATTCTGAATGGATTTAAAAGCATTAGTTTCATTGAAATGAAAAATTAATGTCATAGAAGTAGAGAATAGAATGGTGGTTACCAAGGGGCTGGGGTGGTTGGGGCGGGAGCAGGCATTGGGGAGATGTTGGTCAAAGGATACAAAATTTTAGTTAGATAGGAGGAATAAGTTCAAGAGATCTGTTGTAGTACATAGTGACCATAATTAATAATATATTGTATTCTTGAAGAATGCTAAGAGAGTGGATGTTAAGTGTTCTCACCACAAAAATAACTGTGAGGCATATTTTAATTAGCTAGTTTAGTCATTCCACAGTGTATGTATACTTCAGAGCATCCAGTTGTACATGGTAAATACATACAATTTTATCTGTCAATTTAAAAATAATTTTTAAAAAAGAATGCATACTTGCTATAATATATTATCTAAAAGCTTTACTGATTCATTCTTCTGCTATCTCAAACCTGCTGTGGGGCACCTCTAGTGAATTTTTCGTTTCCATTATAATATTCTTCAACTCTAGGGTTCCATTTGGTTCTTTCTTGTAGTTTCTATTTCTCTACTGAGATTCCCTATTGAGTCAGTCATCATCTTTCCATTAATTCTTTGAACGTATTTATTTATTTATTTATTTATTTATTTATTTATTTATTTATTTATTTATTTATTTATTTATTTATTTATTTATTTATTTATTTATTTATTTATTTATTTATTTATTTATTTATTTATTTATTTATTTATTTATTTATTTATTTATTTATTTATTTATTTATTTATTTATTTATTTATTTATTTATTTATTTATTTATTTATTTATTTATTTATTTATTTATTTATTTATTTATTTATTTATTTATTTATTTATTTATTTATTTATTTATTTATTTATTTATTTATTTATTTATTTATTTATTTATTTATTTATTTATTTATTTATTTATTTATTTATTTATTTATTTATTTATTTATTTATTTATTTATTTATTTATTTATTTATTTATTTATTTATTTATTTATTTATTTATTTATTTATTTATTTATTTATTTATTTATTTATTTATTTATTTATTTATTTATTTATTTTTCCTTTTTGTCTTTTTTCGTGACCGGTAACAGGATCGCAACCCTCGGTGTCACGCCCGCACCGTGCTCAACCAGTGAGCAGACCAGTCTCTATATGGGATCCAAACCCTCGGCGGGAGCGCCACTGTGCTCCCAAGCGCTGCACTCTACCGAGTGCGCCACTGGGCCGGCCCTGAACATATTTATAATAGATGCTTTTTAAGATTTTGCTAAATCTATCATCTCTTTCAGTTTCTACATACTATTTTTTTTTCCTACATAAGAGTCTTGCTTTCCTATTTCTTTACATGTCAAGTAATTTTTGGTTGAATACTCGATATTTTAAATAATTTATCGTAGCAACTCTATTCTCATTTTTTTGGAGAGTTGTTAGATTTGTTTTAGTAATTTGCCTATGTAGTCACTGATGTCTCTGCTCCAATTTTTTATTCTTGTATTTACTTTTAAGCCTGACTTCCTAGGGGTTGCCCCATGTCTGTGTACTTAGTGGTCAGCCAGTGATTTGGGCTGAGGTTATGCTCAAACATCTTGAGCTTGAAAGGCCTCAGATTAATCTTTGTGTAGGTTGGGGAATATGTACAAAATTGTTGCCAGTTTTCAAGTCATCTTTAGTTTCTACTTTTTGCCAGACTCTCTCGGGTCTTCCCCGCCCATTTATATAGTTTCCTGTTTAGCCAGGGTTGTGTGGGGAGCTTATTGCAGCCCTTTTATAGCTCTCTAGTTTCTAGGATCTTCATGTTAAATTTCTGCCTAGTCTGCCACTCATCTCAGCCAGGACCACACCTTGGGTTTACAAAGCTGTGGGTTTTTCCTGTTCTTTCCTGATCGAGTTCACCACTTTTAATTTGTGGCAGAGTTACAGGTTTTTACGCACTGGTACACATCAAGTCTGTCCTTTCTGGCAACAACACTGCTGGTTTTCATGACCAGCTTTGCACTAATAAAACCATTCTTGCCAACCAAGTTGATGGTGATGGTGGGGGTGTGAATAAACTTCTGTAAAAAAAAGAAACAGTGACTCCCCTGTCCTAACTAAAGCTCAGCAGTTTTTTAACAATAAACATTTCTTAATTGTTGCCTGCATTTGGTTCATTTCCAGTACCCTGGAATGGTGGTTTTTGACAATATTGTCCAGGTTATACTCATCTTTTTTTTTTTTTTTTTTTTTAAAGATGACCGGTAAGGGGATCTCAACCCTTGGCTTGGTGTTGTCAGCACCACGCTCAGCCAGTGAGCAAACCGGCCATCCCTATATAGGATCCGAACCCGTGGCCTTGGTGTTATCAGCACCACACTCTACCGAGTGAGCCACGGGCCAGCCCTATACTCATCTTTTTTTTTTTTTTTTTTTTTTTTAAAGATGACCGGTAAGGGGATCTCAACCCTCGG